GTCAATCCTTCAATATGTTTTACATTTATATTGGTAAAATTTAACACTATCATTTATTTACTGGGTAAGATTTTAGTCAATAAAAACGGTATCATATGTAACAATTTACCCGGTAAGCGCTAATCATGGTAAGAGTCATTGCCTTATCTTACCGAATAAGATTCTCGGTCCCGTTTGGTTTGCAGGAATGAAATGGATTTGGATTTCAAATCCGTTCCAATCTCATGTTTGGTTTGTTGCATTGTCCGGATTTGAAATCCTGTAATTTAATTGAAATCCTACAAACATAAGATTTTGAAATCCTTAGGGAGTACTCGGTATTTCGTAGAATTGTATGCAATAAAGTTTTAAAAAATGTTAAAAAAACATTTGTTTTCTAATAATCGATTAATAAAAATGTAATTCGATTATTTTTATAATTTTTATAAAATATTTATAAATAATGAAATCCAATTCTATTTCAAATCATACAAGCCAAACACACCAATTATTTCAAATCCAGTCCAATCAAAATCCTTCCATAAAATCCAAATCGCAAAATTTATTTATAGAAATTGTATGAAATAAAAATAAAAATAAACCACACGGGTAGTGCCTGATTGGTTTGAGCTTGGCTCCAAAGGTCAAAAGTATCAGGATGTCTCATGTTCAAATCCAAGGAGGAATAAAAATCCACTTGTGGCCACGGAGGTTCAAATGCGTTAATTCCGGGCTATCCGCAAAACAGGTAGTCATCCTAAGATTAGTCGGCTCACATAAGGGGTTGGATTTCCAGATTAATAAAAAATAAATAAATAATTAGGTGGAAATTAATAAGACGTGGTTGATTTCCATCTTCAAAAATCAAACATGATTTAAAGTTGATTGGTTTGCAAATGGTCCAAAAATGCATGCCTCCATTCACCACCACATTTCCTCTTTTGCCTTTTTAAGATTCTATCAACATGTTTTATTTCCAAAATAATATAATTACAAAACACATTAATTGTTTTTTTACAATATACTAAAATGTTACTCGTGCAATGCAGCAAGATACATCTCGATTTTAATGTTTTATTTTATTCATTGTCTCTGTCGATGTTATAATACGATTTATGTGTTTAAAAAAAACAATAATTATTTTATTTTTAAATAAAATATAAATTTGAAGATATCAGAAAAATTTGAAAAAAATATATATCAATGTTAATATCAAATCAACTATTATGTAATTT